AAGAAATAACAAGTAATATTCCAGCGCAATCTAAAAAATTTTATATTTATTTTACAATATTTCGAATTTCAAATTCATCGTCCAGGGAATGAATTTTACATTTGAGATTATGAGTATTAGAAACAGGTATACAACAATGAAATCGACGAGTTCCAACAATGGATGAGGAATTTACAAATCGAACTTTTAAAGCTTGCTCTTCCAGTCTATGTTCTTCGTTTGTACAAAAAAACGGTTCGAATGGAATTAATTGATTCTTTGGCAAATTCGTATAACTGACGCGGAGTAGTAATTTGATTATCATAAGGTCTTTGTATACTTGCTCGAGCTGCAGTTCTCTTGAACGTACCACCAATCCCATCACAAGGTGATTTTCCGTGTGACGTCGCAAAGAAATGCCACTCAGCATTACACCAAAGTCCGCTTGGTGATAGACCAGATTAATGCATTTTTTTTTTTTTAATTTTAAATTTTCGAGAGGTAGTTTTTTTACCACAAATTTAACAATTTATGTTAAAACGATACAGATTTCCGCTTAATTTAAACCCAAAGATATCTCTGCCCGTTCGGGAGATATGACAGATCAAAGAAATTTTAATATAAACACACAAATATTACCTTCGTTATTCATTTCCATTCTCTTTTTGAAGTATCTTTCTCACTCGAAGACGAATACCATTTCAGACTACAAGAATACTGACTACGAAAGAAAAAAACATGTAAACTTTTAGTAGAAATGTCAACTTTAACAGCTGATATCTCAATGGAAAAACTCTTTAGGAAAATAATGTGTATGTACTTTTTTACTCTGAAGAATCAATTTAGGGAAGGGGCAAAAAAATCCATTTATCGATACTTTAAAAAATGAATTTTGGCCAGCAAATAGTAGCTGTCTGACCATAGTGCAATGTAGCCTACATTACCGAGGAAAAAGAGCAACATTATTTCGAGAAACGAAAATGCCATTCATTTATATCCAAAAAGCCGGTTTCTTTTTAAGTTTTTAACAATTAAACTAATTAATTATAATAATAATATATAATTAATTATATTGAGAGTTTTGCTTTACTTCGTTATTTTCTAAATGTTGCAAATAAAACTTCACACACAATCATAAACCACCACCAATTGATTTTATTAAAAAATTTAAAATTACGAATATACCTAATACTAAAAACACGATGCGAAAAACCACACGCAGAAAGAGCTGGAATACGAGAAATATTTGAAGAAAGAACGTAGAAATGATCAAGTCATTGCAAAACATATTTCGTTTCCAAAAATAAAGCGAATACTATTGAATTGAAGAAACATTGGATTGCCGCCATGTCCAAAAACCCCGGAGGAACACTGAAAGAATTGTTTTTAAATTAGCATATGTTTTTTTTTTATTTCCGAATTCTTCGGAAACCTTTGAAGTCAAAGAGTAAGCTCCTTCAATTGGGATTTCCAGAAGAAATGTTCAATGTCTGGCTATAGAGAGAATCGATGTTCAAATAATTAAAATGCTATAAGTCTAACCTTTAATTAGATAAGAATTACGTAACTATCTGAGACCCTCAGCATTCGTGACTCCAATAATTGAAATGCTTATAAAAAGTCTCGAAATCTCGAAATCGAAAAACGCTGATGGCGTTACAGGTTCCCCGAATTCTGAAACAGCCAAAGGAATGAGAATGAAGAATTCTTTCTAAAAAGCTTTAGAAAAGCTGACACATCAATGATTTTTCAAGTGAATGTTCTTCAAGTTAAATGTAATATTCCAATTTTTGATTTCAAGTATTAAATAAAATAACCATTATTAAAAATTACTAACTTTTCCATATTTTATTTACATAAGTAACTTAATTTACTTACCTAATTGTTTCTTAAAAATACTTGACATCCGCATTCGCATCCGCATCCGCGGATGTTAGCTGTTAGACATGCGAAAAAGTTCATATAAAAGTGCATTTCTAAACATATTTACCCATTAAAAACGAAACGTTACTATCGATACTACACTCAGAAAAAAGCATTTCCTTAAATCAAGAAATCACTACCCTTATTTTCGAGTTACTGTTTTTTCCTTAATATTACGAAAAATTTACTTAATTTCAGAAGTTTTTCCTTAATTAATTATTTCAATTCAAATATAAATTACAAATTGTAAAATTAATTTCATATATGGAAAAACCTAAATACTCAAATAACATAAAAAGTAAATTAGATAAATTTGTTTTTAAATACAATTTAAAAAATTTCAATTAAAAAATAAATAAATATAAAAAAAAAATTCCTGCTCTGGGACTCGAACCTTGCATCTCCCGACTAGCACTCCATAGCTTTGCTCTGTCGGCCATTGCCACTGTTTGAGCGCCGCGAGCAAAATGACTTACTTCTTCCTTTCACGGGGGATGAAATGGCAAGTAAAATTTTCCTAAAAACTACGGAATTGTGTTTTCCTTAAACTGAGTCAAATCGTATACTCATATTAAGGCAGTCATGTCATTGGAGCCATTTCAAGGTAATATTTCATTATTATTACATACATTTTTCCTAGTATCAAGGAATGTTTTTTCTGAGTGTATCGATGGTGCAAAATTAAACTATCGAAACTATCGAGTGGGAACACTATCGATAGTTTTCCAGCTCCACTGTATTGGACCAATCCTGTGACTCCAAAACAATTGTCGTCCCACTTTTTTTTTTGTTTTTTTACCAATAGCCCAATATAAAAATGTACGAATCTGTATAAATATACCAATACCTCAAAACTTTGTGCAATATTTATAAAAATAGAATAAACAAATTTCGAGCTTTTTTAATTTCGCTAGCTTAGAGTGAAAAGTTGCTAAGTCCCATTTTAAAAATTTTACAGGAGAGTAAAAAAACTTCTTAAAGGCGTTTTCCTCAAGTATTTCGCGAAACTTTGAATACAATATTTTGTCTGTTCAAAGAAAAGCAAAGCTCCATACGAATCAGGGAGGTTCGATCTTTATTAAAAGATTTCGTACTAGGGCTGATGATTTCACCCGGGTAACGAGCTACCCGGGTACCCGGGTAGCGGGTGAATCCCTACCCGGGTATTGAATTACCCGGGTAGCCCGGGTACCCGGGTATTTTATAACCCGGGTAGACCGGGTACCCGGGTATTTTATAACCCGGGTAGACCGGGTACCCGGGCAGTATGGTAATTACCCGGGTACCCGGGCACCCGAAAAAATGTGGAGAGGTGAAAATTAAACGCATTTACGATCATATAACGCAAACGAACGTACATAGGGAAAATCTATAAGAATCTTCCGTACCATATGGGGAAATATTATAATATACAACACATACATTGCACTTGACAAATCCGTCATTCATCACACAAGCGTACTTCCAAACCCAGCTTGTTTTAGGCATGTCTAAAATATTAATATTTACGAAGTTGGTAATGCACGTACAGATATCGGATCGGTAACAAATAAAATTATTGAGACACACCCACCTGCGAATCTAAACGATGACCGACAGTTGAGGCAATTTTTGTGTTGGAATGAAAAAAATTTTAAAATTTCTTCCACAATTATTTCACAACAATACGTTCATCAACCTACTTCTCGTATTAAGGAAACTTCATTAAATAATTGTGATTTTAAAAGCTTTAAATATTATGAGAAAAGAAACTATAATTTGAACAAGCTGATACAATAAAAGTACAAAATCTTTAGGTGAATGAATAGCATAAGGCTTTGTTACCTTACTTTTTGTACCAGAAGTGGCCTACCACAGGGTTTAGTTCTTATATAATTCCCAATGAGAACGTTCTCGTCAGTTTTGTTCTCATTTTGGTTTTGGTTTTGACGCGTTCTTGGGAACAAAACTACGACAATGGCATTTAGTTTCGATCATACATTTCGTTCTCAGTCCCTGTTTTAAAATATTAATATTTAATATTCTTTAAAATATACATACATACATACATATGTACACATGCATGTATGTATATGCATTTACAAAAATTAGAAGTTTGAATTTAAGTACAGAAACTAATGTTTTAATTTACTTTTCTTGTCTCCGTCTACTCAGGCAAGCGGTTAGGTATACATAGTCGCGTACACTCTAGACATAAAAAAATAATTATAAAAAAAAATTTTCTCACTGAAAAAATATTTATCCTCACCAAAAAGATTATACAAGAAGCTTTATGTCGCATTGCCCGGGTGTTTTTCGTTTAACCGGCACCAACATATGTATATTACCCGGGTACCCGGGCAAATCGGGTAATACCCGACTACCCGGGTAATAAAAGCCCCGGGTAATACCCGGGTAATCGGGTACCCGGGTGCCCGGGTAATTCGGGTAATGCCCGGGTACCCGGGTATCATCAGCCCTATTTCGTACTATTTATTCGATTTTCAGTGTTTCTTTTGGACTTAGCAAATTTTCCTTTCATTGAATATAAACGAGAATAAATAAAACAAGTACCTTTATCCTTTTCAAAATACTGCATTTTAAACTTTTCTAGCGTCCTATATCAAAATATGAATTTTCATAAAAAGTAGACTTAGCAACTTTTCACTCTAAGCTTGCGATTTGTTTCCCTAGAAAGATTCCGAGTATGTAGTTGAAGTTTTGTTAAAGAATGAACTATATTTTTATAAAAAAAAAATAATCAAAATAAATAACAAAAATAATATGTTAAATCTTGGCAAAAAGTGGTCCGGCTATAATTTTTTGAGCACTATATGCATTTTTTTACATATTTAATTTTACATATATAAGTATAACAAAATTAAAGAAGAAATGCTTTTTTGCATTTTTTCAAAGCTCATTTTACCTTTTTTCAAGTTTTTAGTGCCCTAAACTCTTAACCCTGGTTATCAATATTTGTAAACATGCTAAAACGAATATCGATTTAAGTTCAAAGTGACTTATGCCACTTTCAAAATAAACTATTTATTTATTAAATACGTATATTTCTGTAAAATTATGAACCATGAAATTCTATTTAATGCTAATCTATTTTGAAGGCGCGTCAAGAACTAATCAAAGACACATGCAACGAAAATATACATGGTATTAAGCTGGACTTAGCATCTCTTACATCAATTAAGGAATTCGCTGATCAGTATGTTATTCATTTTTTATTCTGCACAGAAACATTACAGCAATTTTATTTTTACTTAAGCTTCAAAAAGATCGAAACCCGTCTAGATATCCTTATAAATAATGCTGGTATTATGGCCTGTCCGCGAATGGTTACTGAGGATGGATTTGAAATGCAGATTGGTGTTAATCATTTAGGCCATTTCTACTTAACAAATTTGCTGCTTGATCTATTAAAGGTATGTTGATATGTGTTTTTTTCTTTACCTCTATATAATAATATAAATAACAATATATATATATATATATATATATATATATATATAATGTATTGCTTCTAAAGAAATCTGCCCCGAGTCGAATAGTAGTGCTGTCAAGCTTAGCACATGCGATGGGTTCTTTTAAAAAGAATGATTTTCTCAGCGAACATTCGTATAAACCTTCAAAAGTCTATACACATAGTAAAATTGCAAATATTTTGTTTGCTCATGAATTGGCAAAACGTTTACAAGGTACAAAAGTGACTGTGAACTCCTTGCACCCTGGTGTGGTGGAATCTGAATTGATGCGGTACAACTCGATAATTAATAACCAATTTTTAGGGTAGGGTATGCTAAATTTCAGTATTTTCAAAAAGTTTTTAACATGTTCGTTGTTATTATGTATGAAGTCCTATTGCAAATGTTTTGAAATGGCCCTTCTTCAAAACTACTGCAAACGGTGCTCAAACTACTATTTTTGCCGCCCTGGATCCAGATTTGGAATTAGTAAGCGGTGTTTATTTCAGCGACTGCCAGCCGAAGAAAACAACTTCAGTAGCCCGCGATGATGATTTGGCCAAGTGGCTATGGGATGAAAGTGATCGACTAATCAATTTGAAGTTGGCACAATTGGATCTGAAGTAAAATACACTCATACATAAATATTTATTAAATAAATGACTGTCACAACCCAAAAAAAAACAGTGAAATTACCGGATACAATTATAGTTTAGAAATAAAAGAGGCTAATGTTATGCTTTGAAGCAACTTGGAGCTCTGCCTATAAATGAATATAAATATGCATTATGAATTATAACTTTGCAATAAAACACATTTGATGTCAACCTTAAAGAAATATGATTTTTATGAATTAAAGAAGCAGTTTTATAAGAACTTCTCCTAAAGGCCTTCGAATGTTGAATTGCATCGTTATTGCAGAGGACTATCGATATCTATTACATATGTATATACATATGTATGGAATCTTCAAAGACTAAACTAAATTTTCTATAGTATTATTAAATGTGCGATATTACAAGAAATTCCGCATCATTGTCTGAAAAATGACGTTTCTTGAGTTGTGACAGTCTTTTAGTAAATGAACGATATGCAAATATTATAATAACATGCCCTGCAATGTATTACAAAAAACGCACTTGCGTGCAGTATTAGTCATAGAAACTAAAAAAAATATATAGATGTACTATCAAATGTTTTTTAAAATGTTTTTTGTATATTAATAAATATTTAACAAATAAGAGAATATTTGTTTTTTTTTAAGACACATGGCGAAATAATCATTACATCGTATCATATACTGATGAAATTTTTTTTATTTAAAGTAGATTATGTTAACATTGAAATTTTGTTTGCTATAAGTTTGAGGCAAAAAGCGACGTTATCACGATTTTCGTTCCTACTCGCTAACTGGCGCCAATTAGAAGCATCGAGTAAC